CATGGGTCTTATCTAGGAACATCAAAACAGCTGTCGGTTTTGAGCTTCTCCGTATACTGTTGAGAACATATGCCATACCCATCAGACACCCACGTAGGGTGGGCCAGAGCCAGCTCCTATGGTCGTGATGAACTTTGTAGGAATTGCTTGGTTGGGCATGGTCTCAGCTCCAGATGAATCTCATGTTTTGCAACGAACTCTGAATTTGTGTTAGAAAGACAAAGAATGAAATTTGAAGATGCAGTTGCATCCACTTAATTTGCATGCCCAGCTGAGGGGCACTGTCTCACCCAGATTTTAGATGATGGAGAGGGCTATGCAACCTACCTGGTACAATTGTCTAAGTTTCCTAAGCAGACAGTGATAGAGAGAGGCTTTGGATACGTGCAAGGAAAAGTCTGATGTGTTTACATTTTGCATGCATTACAGTCTTAGAACAGGTTCTTAGAGTAGAAAGAAATAGCAGGACATGCCAAATATCTCTGTTGACTCAGGATTTAGTTCACCAAGCTCTTCTAGTACTGAGCAACCAGTGCTATTCTTCTTTTTTGCAGCAGGCTCAGCTAGAAAGTGAGAATTCCTGGGTTCTTGGCCTCTTCACTTTAATTAACTGCACATCCTGACCCTATGCATCCAGGTGAGTGGTTCTCACCGTATTTTGAAGCTGAATCATAGCACAGTTCACTGTCATGAGGCCACAGAGAACACGAAGAAGCAGCAACTCCAGGAACTCCTCACCACCAGTTATTTTCACAAGCTCAGTGCTTCCCCAAATACACAAGGGAGCACTTGGACGGTGTCTCTTTTAGTGTCCAAAAATGGTGTGCATCTAAAAACAAACAAACAAACAAAAAAAGCCCATATCTACATCACATAGCTCCACCTAAAACTCAATAGGTCGTCTTCGTCTTTTGACTCACTATAGGTTTTCTGAAGCATGTAGTCAATGGAAATTTTAGGCTAATTGGAATTTAAACCGCCTGAAAATAGCCCCAAGGCAGCAACATGAGGATTTAGGGGAGATACTCTAGCTTCAGTGAATCTGTTCAAATAGGTGGAGCCCTGGAGCTGGGCAGGATGCAGAAGTGCCGTGGTAGTTCAGATCCATCTCCTGTTTCCTTTCTGCTCCCTGAGCTCTGGAGAGAGGGGCAGGGGATGGGGGTGTAGGTTATGTCTGTGAACGTGGTGCTCTCTGTTGGCAACAGACAGCTTCAGGAAATATTACGTGCCTGAGAGAGAAAGAGTGTTTTGTCATTCTGGCAGAGCAGCTTGAGATTTCCAGGACTGTAAGACCTCTGCATGGGCCAGCTGTAAATTTGAGTTACTGGTGCCTTGGGACCTTTTCGGGGAGCACTTTAAGAACTATAGAAAAAATAACCACAAGAAAAGCATTTATTTTTGTGACTGCTTTTTCATTCCGTTAAGATCAAGGCATTTGATGACTTAAATGCAAGGCGTTAATATGTAGTTATTTGTCTGTGGAATTAAGATACCTTTAAATCTGTCCTAGTAGTAGTAACACCATATGGAGGATGGTCTGCTCCTCAGATGATCCATGGCTCTCTTAACCATGTAAGGAATGTGTGCATGCTATGGAGTGACATCTGTATAAGGAACCAAGTGAGCCCTATTCATACTTCAGATTCGAAGAATTGTGATTATAATTTTGACTTCCATAACTCTGCATTCTTCAGGTAGTTTGTGTTGAATCTAAATTCTTCTCCCCTTAACTGTGGAGTTAGAATAAAATTCAGCTGTTGCAGATAAGAGCAATGGTATTTATTAATAGTGAAATCATTCATACGCATGGAAAGAACTTAAACATGCAAAGCACATCAGGACAGGAGATCACAGTCCTTAAGGGATTGATTTATCCTTGACTTCTAGGAGCCTTTGTTATGCTAATGATAGATATATATTCCTGAAATCCGTTTCCTCTGTCCGTGCCTTACCCTTTGATTTCTTTATTAACTCTCCTCCCTTGTCACTATGTGCTCTTGTTAATTCAGATCAGGTTTTGCAGCTTGCGTCACACTTTTTGCTATTTTTTACCGAAATGGTTTATTGAGTTCTCTAGCAGTTGGCGTGCTTTCTCCACTCTGCCTCTCCTCTCTGCCACTGCTGCCCACCTGGACCCTGAGACTAACGGGTTTCCTTTGCTCCTGGAGCAGTCAAGGCAACCGACCTAATTAATCATTCCCAACCCTCATTAATAAACATGATTTTTTGGTAATTTGGGGTAAATGTGTTCACGTACTCTAGAATGCTGAATGCTTTATCTAACCATGTGATTTGGTTTTTAGGCACTTAGATAAACGTTAACGATTTATGGTGGCCCAGAGCGTTACTGGCTTTGCTAAGGTTTTAAATCCTTGATATTTCTAAAGTCAAAAGGCACGTTTGGGTGAATAGTTGTGCATGGGGGTGGTTAGCTCACCTACAGTGGTGGTTTGCAAATATTGACCACTGTGGTGCAGGTAGATGGCACCCTAAGTGTCATCAGTAAATGGAAAAGCTGTTCATAGGTAATATAATGTCTTTAAGGATATAAACAAGAGCAAAACATAGAAGTTAAAGTAGATTATGAGCTGTAAGAATGGCTGTAAGACTATAAAGAGTTGTAAGAAATGCTAAGAAGCACAGAATTTTTCTCATGAGCTTATTTTAATACAAGGAGTAGGGTTTTTTTCTGAAACACAATGTGCCACTGCAGTGTGTAGCTACTTCATTACACTTTCTTCAGTGCAGGTGCATCTTGCAACACCTTGTGCTCTCTCCTGGGACTAGATCTATATGAAACATCAGCAGCATAATTTTGCTCTGAACTCAGCTACAATTAAATATTCAGTAGGATACTCTGTCTCTAGCTAGACTCGTGGCAGTTATGAAAGATTAATTCAGTGTAATGTTCTGTTTAATGAAAGTGTTGAAGTGAGCGTTTCTGTTGAAAATTGCAGATTTCAAAATTAGAAATGATGATCTTTATTATGCTTTTTAAAGGGCAGAGAAGATAAATGTTCTATATAGAGTTAACATTTTTTTATTGAAATCCTTGTCTTTCAGGATACCCATCCCAGCATTTTAATTACAGTCTTCTGTGTACTTTGTTGCCTTTACGTGTTTTTTTATTGAAATCTTTGTCTTTCAGGATCTTAATTACAGTCTTCTGTGTACTTTGTTGCCTTTACGTTGCCATTTCATAATACCTGGTACATGTTTCTTAACTGGACACGCAGTAAACAACCTGTAGAAAAAATGAGGGCATTGCATTACAGAATGGTGCAGGTTTGCAGATCTTGCAGTATATTATAAACTTCATTTGGATTTTCTGTTTCGTCAATACTAAGATTTTAAATGATACATGCATCTGAGGAAGGAATAGCAGCTTTGAGGCAATTTCTGGTAGAATTCATTTATACAGCAATGTTCCAAAGGGGAGAGATTAAAGCAGCAACACAGAAAATTCCAATTTCTATCCCTCGCAGGTCCTTTTCTTTTTTTTTTTTTTACCCCTATATCTTTCTCTTACAAAATTTCTTGCATTATTAATGAAGTTCAATCCCGGCAGTGGTATGGAATCTGAAGGGTGAACTCAGATCAGCAAGTTTGAAGTCCTAATTCTTGTAAACCAGCGTGAATAACAGATGCTATTAAGCAAGGCACAGTAGATGGTACTTGTTCAGCAATTGCTGTAAATGTGACCTCATTGATTCTATCCGTGTTTTTCCCTCTGTGTTTTACAGAACACATTGATTTAGTAAGATGTTGTTGTTTTATTGCCATTAATGTTAAAATGATAGAAAAATGTGCAAAAATATTTGGGGATTGGTGTTAACTGAAAGCCATTGTCTGGTGTATTAGCAAATTAGGGATTGTTTTTTAATTATGATTCTGCTACAAATACCATGCACTCTATTGTATAAATGGGGTTCTTTTCTGAATTTCATTAACAGGTCCCTGGAAACATTTGAGGTCAGGTTGGATGAGGCTCTGAGCAGCCTGACTCCTTGAAGCTGTCCCTGCTCATTGCAGGGGGGTTGGAGTAGATGACCTTTAGAGGTCTCTTCCAACCCAAACTATTCTATGATTTTCACTCCAGCTGCATTCCCTAGAAATTCAGAAGGGAAATCATCACCAGGCCTACACTCTCTTAGAACGCAACAGGATCAGCATCATATTTTTAATGAGTTTCCCTGGACCTCTTCAGGAAGGAGAAGGAAGGAGCAAGACCCCAGTTCCATCTTACTGTTTGCTCAGTCTTTAACTTGGCTAAAAAGCAGTGTGACTTGTAACGTGTCCTGGACAGTTGCCCACCCGAGAAGCAGCAGGCAGTGTAGCATTTTTGGCCCCTTGCATGATGGTCAATAGCAGTTGCCTGTGGGAAGATGGAAAGACTGAAGGGTTGAAATTCAATAATCCTTTCTGTTTTGAAACAGTAATTAGCTGTCGCACAGTTCAGCTGCCAGCCAGGCAGCTACTGCAGTGGGCTCTTATTGCCCTGATCAGCAGGCAAAGGGCTGAATACAAAGGAAGGAAGCTAAAGGAAAAGGAATTTCTGCTGAGACAAAGGTTGCAAAATAAATAAAAATTGCCCAATATTAGGTACTTTGTATCAGTAAGAAAAGGAGACTCATCAAATGTTCTGTTTACTGAGCCAGCAGAAGCTTGCAGTGCTACAGTCCATATCCTGCAGTCTTAGAATGGGCCTATTTTATATCATTTAACAATTTTATATAGTAAATTTTATATAGTAAACATGGCCTTGCGTGGTTTATTTTGTGTGTACGTGTTCTTTATGGACATTTTAACTACCCATATAAATTTGTCTGTCCACGTATTATAGGTAGCTGTCTGTCCGCTCCCACTGCGTGGTTCTCCAGCCTGCAGGTGATAATGCAGGACAATTCACCCAAATACCATCCATGGAGTCTCTGTTTCGTATGGTTTGACAGCTCAGCCAAAATACAAAGTTTCAGCAGGTTTCCCCTTTTGCATTTCAGGACTATAACGATGAAATTCGCCAGGAGCAGCTGAGAGAACTGTCGTATTTGAACGGTTCTGAAGATTCAGCACGTGGACGAGGCATTCGAGGAAGAGGGATCCGTGTGCCACCTGCAGCTCCTTCAAGGTGTGGTAACCTGACGATTATGGCAATAACTTTAGAAAGTGAAAACAATGGTAAAACAACCATAGTTTAAAAAAAAAGAAAAGGAAAGTTGCATATATGTCATGGCCAGTAAACCAAAATGTTCTTCTGACAACTTGTGTGGGTCTGTGTTGTGCCAGGTTCTCTGGTCTACAGTTCACAGGCTACAATGGTTGGTATAGAAGTGTCAAACAACAAATCAGAGCAGATGATGAAGGCAGTGAAAGGATATTTCTAGGAAAGAATATGGTCAGCATGGTCAGTAGCATGAAGTCTTGGATCAATAAAATAGTATAGTCAGAAAAGATTACATAGTCTGGGTGGAACTTCATTTGCCAAATAATTACTGGTGTTTGGTATGAATATTATTATATATTGTTTGTTGTATGCATTATCAGTTTTATATGGATTTCACTGGCATCATCTACAAATATTGGTGTACGAATGTTTCCTGAGTTCTTCCAAGTATTTTTCATATATAGGTAGCAGATAGCTCTGCTTGTTCATAATCTTAATGCACTGTTTCAGACTTACTTTTCACTGTGAACCCTTAAGAAATTCGTTGCCTCAGGCATCTAAGTTACCTAGCTACTTCTAGGCATCAGTAGAGATCATTTCAGGATGGGTCCTAAGAAATCCACTTTAATTTTGGAGGAAATGGAGTATGGAGGTGCCTTAGGAATGCTGCCAGAGGAATTGTTCTTTCATAATTCAACTGGCTGATCTTGTGTATGACTTTTTTTTTTTCTCCTGAAGGTGTCTATCATAGTTTCCCTCAGTTCTTCTTGAATGGAATCTTTTATCCATAGTACTATGCACGTACATAGGATTTTTTATACTTGTCATTCATGACCATCTTTCACTCAAATTCTTTTTGGGCTCAGAAGCCAGTCTTCCTTACACCTTAGGTCTCTGAAGGCCTTTAGTTAATAAGGGTGTTTAGAACATCGCTGCAACAGACTGGCAGCTTTTAAATTAGGTTCAAAGCATAATCAGTGGAGTGCTGGCCCCCACTTCCTGCAGAATACCCAAACGATTGGATCAGTTGGACAGATACAGGATCTTAGATGCTTTCTCTATTTACCAGACGGAAATCTCTGGAGAATATTAAAAAAAAAAAAATTGCAACTGAAGTTTTTTAAGCTAAATATTTATGCAACTTAATAATGGTGTTCAGAACATCACTGCAACAGACTGGCAGCTTTTAAATTAGGTTCAAAGCATAATCAGTGGAGTGCTGGCCCCCACTTCCTGCAAAATACCCAAACGATTGTATCAATTGGACAGAGACAGGATCTTAGATGCTTTCTTTGTTTACCAGACAGAAATCTCTGGAGAGTATTTAAAAAAAAATAATTTGCAATTGAAGTTTTTTCAGCTAAATATTTATGCTAACAATTTATGCCAATAGCATAATTATATTTATGGTGGTACAGTTGTTACACTTGAAGGAAGAGATAGCATCCAGAAGAACCTTGACAGGCTTGAGAAGTGGGCCCACATGAACCTCACGAAGTTCAATAAGGCCAAGTGCAGGGTCCCAACATAATTATATTTATGGTGGTACACTTGAGGGAAGAGATAGCAACCAGAGGAACCTTGACAGGCTTGAGAAGTGGACCCATGTGAACCTCATGAAGTTCAATAAGGCCAAGTGCAGGGTCCCACTCCTTTGTAATCACCAGTGTCAGCACAGACTGGGGGTTGAAGGGATTGAGCAGGTTGAGGGAGGTGACTCTGCTCCTCTACTTGGCTCTCATGAGGCCCCACAGGAGTATTGTGTCCAGCTCTGGGGTTCCCAGCACAACAAAGGCATGAACCTGTTGGAACGGGTCCAGAGGAGGGCCATGAAAACGATCAGAGGGATTGGACACCTCTCCTGTGAGGACAGGTTGAGAAAGTTGGGGTTGTTCAGCCTGGAGAAGAGAAGGCTCTGGGGACACCTCACTGCAGCCTTTCCGGTTATAGAGGGGACTTATAAGAAAGATGGAGAAAGCCTTTTTGCCAGGCCCTGTAGTGTCAGGACAGTGGGCAGTGGTTTTAAACTGAAAGAGGGTACAAAGGCATGAACCTGTTGGAACGGGTCCAGAGGAGGGCCATGAAAACGATCAGAGGGATTGGACACCTCTCCTGTGAGGACAGGCTGAGAGAGTTGGGGTTGTTCAGCCTGGAGAAGAGAAGGCTCTGGGGACACCTCACTGCAGCCTTTCCGGTTATAGAGGGGACTTATAAGAAAGATGGAGAAAGCCTTTTTGCCAGGCCCTGTAGTGTCAGGACAGTGGGCAGTGGTTTTAAACTGAAAGAGGGTAGGTTTAGTTTGGACATAGGGAAGAAATATTTTTTGGTAAAGGTGATGAAACACTGGAACAGGTTTTCCAAAGAAGTTTTGGATGCCTCATCATCGGAGGTATTCAAGGTTAGGTTGGACAGGGCTTTGAGACACTTGATCTAGTGAAAGATGTCCCTGCCCAAGGGCAGAGGGGTTGGACTAGATGACCTTTAAAGGTCCTTTCCAACTCAAACCATTCTGTGATCATAGAGAAGAAGTATTTTTTGGTAAAGGCGATGAAACACTGGAACAGGTTTTCCAAAGAAGTTGTGGATGCCTCATCATTGGAGGTATTCAAGGTCAGGTTGGACAGGGCTTTGAGACATTTGATCAGGTGAAAGATGTCCCTGCCCAAGGGCAGAGGGGTTGGACTAGATGACCTTTAAAGGTCCTTTCCAACTCAAACCATTCTGTGATTCTAAAATAGGCTGCTGAAACTTGTGGTGAACCAGTGAACACCACAAGCTAGTGCTATGGGTTTGGTTGCTTCACCAGGGAACAAGCCACACTTCATACTGCTGCGGGAGATCCGAGTGCCCCTCACAGCCCTGGATCTGGGTGTCACACACAGTTCTGCCTGGCACTCACAGTCTTAGAAGGGGCAGCACGCTCAGGAGCATACTGCTCTGAAATAAAACCCACAGATTGCTTCCCTGATATATCCCCCTTCTGTTGTATGGTGTACTTACAAGAACCTCTTTTTAACCACTAACGGCTTCTTCTGACCTACCAATTAGTACAGCAAGGTGGATATAGCATAACCAAATGGGAGAATGCTGAACCTCTCTGTGCTTGCCTGTGTGGGCTGTTGTCTCTGCACAATGGGGGAAAGCAGAATCCCACATTACTCTTCCCTTGTGCTGAACCATGTTAGACAGGAAGAAAAGTTCTTACTCTCCTTTTATACTCCTGCTCTTCTTTGATTTGCGAGTTTCTGCCATGCTGCATCATCAGCTTTCTCCCACCCACCAATAAACATGAGAATGAAAGAGATGACTGCTCTTCTAACCCAAGTTGAGAGCAACAGAAAAAGTTCCTTCTTCCTGTAGAACTGCTTTGGAGTAACTGCAACTCTGTGAATTACAGTGATCCAGAATTTCATTAGTACAAGCAACACAACGATCAGGTGTTCCCCATCCGGTGCACTGTGTCTGGTTCTGGGTTCCCCAGTTCAAGAAGGACAGGGAACTGCTGGAGAGGGTACAGCAGAGGGCTACAAAGATGAGGAAAGGCTGAGGGACTTGGGTCTCTTTAGTCTAGAGAAGAGAAGACTGAGGGGGGATCTGATCAATGCTTATAAATACTTATCATCTGGAGCACAGTGTCTGGTTCTGGGTTCCCCAGTTCAAGAAGGACAGGGAACTGCTGGAGAGGGTACAGCAGAGGGCTACAAAGATGAGGAAAGGCTGAGGGACTTGGGTCTCTTTAGTCTAGAGAAGAGAAGACTGAGGGGGGATCTGATCAATGCTTATAAATACTTAAAGGGAGGGTGTCAAGAGGATGGGGCCGGTCTTTTTTCAGTGGTGTCCAGGGATAGGACAAGAGGAAATGAGCACAAACTTGAATAGAAGAAGTTCCACTTAAACACGAGGAGGAACTTCTTTCCTTTGGTGGTGGCAGAGCCCTGGAAGAGGCTGCCCAGGGAGGTGGGGGAGTCTTCATCTCTGGAGACATTCAAACCTCAAGTGGACATGTTCCTGTGGGACCTGTTCTGGGTGGACCTGCTTTGGCAGGGGGTTGGACTAGATGTGCTGCTCTGGGACAGGCTCTGGGTGGCCCTGCTTTGGCAGGGGGTTGGACTAGATGATCTCCAGAGGTCCCTTCCAACCCCATGTGATTCTGTGGTTCTGTGTGAAAGGCACTGGATGGCTTAAAAATAATTCCTCTCCATAGTATGAGTTCTTCCTGAGACACTACCTAAAAGCACTTGGCATTGTAGCGGCGAAAACACCAGTTATACGATACCTCAAATGGCAGTAAAAAAGTAAGAGCCTTTAAAATGGGGTAGGACTTGCACCCCCTCCCTTGCCATACACACTGAAGTGACCACTTCTTTTTGCTCCTCTCAGGGGACGCGGGGGTGCGATTCCTCCACCCCCGCCTGGACGAGGTGCCCAAGCGCCCCGAGGAGCACCGGTCACCCGTGGAGCCCTCCCTGTCCCACCAGTGGCGAGAGGTGTGCCCACCCCTAGAGCAAGGGGTGCCCCAGCGGTCCCGGGCTACAGACCACCCCCACCACCTGCACACGAGGCCTATGAAGAATATGTAAGTAGCCGCATGCGTCCATAACATAACGTGAGACAAAGTTTTTGGCCAACATCAAGTACCTCTGAGTTGAAGGACTCTGGGCCAACGATTCCTCTGTCTCTACTGCTTACCCTCGGCTGGTGAATCGTGGTCTGGGCAATGCAGTGTGTCTGCAGACCTGTGTTTTGGGTGATGTGGGTTCGTAGAATTGTTTTGGGTTTGAGGTCATCCAGGTTAGTGTGTCTGCAGACCTGTGTTTTGGGTGACGTGGGTTCATAGAGTTGTTTTGGGTTGAGGTCGTGCAGGTTAGCTCTCAGGGTGTCACAGAAGAACAATACTCTTAAGGATTACTTAATAACTGAAAGTCACTTATTGCTGTACGCAGGTTCTTAGGAATAACAGATTATATATCCTTTGTGAGAAAATAAGCAGGGTTTTTTTTTCTTCTGAATCCTTTTTATTACATATAAATATGTATATGTGTATTCCTATTCAGCATTGCATTACAGATACATAATAAACAGAAATTCAGGTAATTTTCATGAAAGCTGATACAATGACACATATTTAGCAAAGAGCAGTGCTTACTGTCACCTTCTCTTACAAGATGTTAAAAATAATTGTACTGGAAACATCAAAGCTTTCAAGTCATCCTCATTAATGTTCCCTCCTGGAACTATCACCATAACAACAGATCTCAAAATACAGGAGAAAGTACCATCGAACATGATGTCTGGCTTTTTCCAGCTGTGGCATATCCAAGGATAAGATGAACATCCCATCCACTCCATAATCCTGTCACTACTCCTGGTGACATTGAGAAGATGGAGTATAGTTGGGAAGATGCAGTCTTATTCAATTACTGGTCTTCCTGGAACAGAAGAAAGGCAATTGAAATATAAATTAATCTTTGTTGGTAAAGCTTTTCTCAACCATCTGTATTGCAGAATCATGGATTCTGTATTTGTAGAGTAGAGGCTAGATCATTATTTGTAGAGTAGGGATTAGATCATGGCCACTTCAAATCAGGGACACACATTCTGTTAATTCCAAGAGACACAACTGAACAACATCTGCAAAAAACGGAGGGGAAGAAAGTAACTCTCTGTTATTACACAGTTTCCATCTTTAAATTTGATAAAAGTCCTGCAAAAAATAGAATAATAGAATTTTAAAAGTATATCCCTCCTTGATAAATAGTATATTATCTGTTACTGTCGAAATGTATGAGACTTCCTTTCTGTGCAAAACTGTGTCTTCTCCTAATCCACGAGTGACAAATTTCCAAATAGAACCTTTGTAATGTAGGATTAAGATTGCAAATTAAGTAATTTATTTTTTTCACCTACAGTACTGATAATTGTTATAGGGTATTAAACAGTTTTTAGGGAACATTTCTTATGCTTTTTCTGGATGATGAATGTATAGAAAGTGGGAGGAGAGGTTGAGGCAGCTGAATTATCAGTGTTAGGAAAGCATTCAGCCAGCTCCTCATGGTTTTGAAATGCTTACACTCTCAGGAACACAAAATATACATGCAGTTAAAGGAGTCATTTTAGTGTGTAATAGATTATTCCAATAAAAACAAACAAATATGTTTGTGTTTCTGTTTTGCCTACTTAGGTAGTAGCAAGAAAGATGCTGCCTTATAGGACAAATTCAGATGTTTTAGAGATCCTTCCATTTCCTATGTCCTTTCAACATCTATATTGCATGGCCAGGAATTTGTGGGCTTCCCCTGACTTGCTTTCATCCACCAGTTTGCAATAAAAATATCTTGCCATTTTGTAAAGACTTGTAAGCGCATTCTAAATCATCTTGGTACCTTATGGACTCAGATGATAATTAAAACACTGTTGATGCGCGAGTAGGCCTAAAAGCGCTTGGCATTGTAGCTGCGAAAACACCAGAGTTATACGATATCTCAAATGGCAGTAAAAAAGTAAGAGCCTTTAAAATGGGGTAGGACTTGCACCCCCTCCCTTACCTAAAAGCACTTGGCATTGTAGCTGCGAAAACACCAGTTATACGATACCTCAAATGGCAGTAAAAAAGTAAGAGCCTTTAAAATGGGGTAGGACTTGCACCCCCTCCCTTGCCATACACACTGAAGTGACCACTTCTTTTTGCTCCTCTCAGGGGACGCGGGGGTGCGATTCCTCCACCCCCGCCTGGACGAGGTGCCCAAGCGCCCCGAGGAGCACCGGTCACCCGTGGAGCCCTCCCTGTCCCACCAGTGGCGAGAGGTGTGCCCACCCCTAGAGCAAGGGGTGCCCCAGCGGTCCCGGGCTACAGACCACCCCCACCACCTGCACACGAGGCCTATGAAGAATATGTAAGTAGCCGCATGCGTCCATAACATAACGTGAGACAAAGTTTTTGGCCAACATCAAGTACCTCTGAGTTGAAGGACTCTGGGCCAACGATTCCTCTGTCTCTACTGCTTACCCTCGGCTGGTGAATCGTGGTCTGGGCAATGCAGTGTGTCTGCAGACCTGTGTTTTGGGTGATGTGGGTTCGTAGAATTGTTTTGGGTTTGAGGTCATCCAGGTTAGTGTGTCTGCAGACCTGTGTTTTGGGTGACGTGGGTTCATAGAGTTGTTTTGGGTTGAGGTCGTGCAGGTTAGCTCTCAGGGTGTCACAGAAGAACAATACTCTTAAGGATTACTTAATAACTGAAAGTCACTTATTGCTGTACGCAGGTTCTTAGGAATAACAGATTATATATCCTTTGTGAGAAAATAAGCAGGGTTTTTTTTTCTTCTGAATCCTTTTTATTACATATAAATATGTATATGTGTATTCCTATTCAGCATTGCATTACAGATACATAATAAACAGAAATTCAGGTAATTTTCATGAAAGCTGATACAATGACACATATTTAGCAAAGAGCAGTGCTTACTGTCACCTTCTCTTACAAGATGTTAAAAATAATTGTACTGGAAACATCAAAGCTTTCAAGTCATCCTCATTAATGTTCCCTCCTGGAACTATCACCATAACAACAGATCTCAAAATACAGGAGAAAGTACCATCGAACATGATGTCTGGCTTTTTCCAGCTGTGGCATATCCAAGGATAAGATGAACATCCCATCCACTCCATAATCCTGTCACTACTCCTGGTGACATTGAGAAGATGGAGTATAGTTGGGAAGATGCAGTCTTATTCAATTACTGGTCTTCCTGGAACAGAAGAAAGGCAATTGAAATATAAATTAATCTTTGTTGGTAAAGCTTTTCTCAACCATCTGTATTGCAGAATCATGGATTCTGTATTTGTAGAGTAGAGGCTAGATCATTATTTGTAGAGTAGGGATTAGATCATGGCCACTTCAAATCAGGGACACACATTCTGTTAATTCCAAGAGACACAACTGAACAACATCTGCAAAAAACGGAGGGGAAGAAAGTAACTCTCTGTTATTACACAGTTTCCATCTTTAAATTTGATAAAAGTCCTGCAAAAAATAGAATAATAGAATTTTAAAAGTATATCCCTCCTTGATAAATAGTATATTATCTGTTACTGTCGAAATGTATGAGACTTCCTTTCTGTGCAAAACTGTGTCTTCTCCTAATCCACGAGTGACAAATTTCCAAATAGAACCTTTGTAATGTAGGATTAAGATTGCAAATTAAGTAATTTATTTTTTTCACCTACAGTACTGATAATTGTTATAGGGTATTAAACAGTTTTTAGGGAACATTTCTTATGCTTTTTCTGGATGATGAATGTATAGAAAGTGGGAGGAGAGGTTGAGGCAGCTGAATTATCAGTGTTAGGAAAGCATTCAGCCAGCTCCTCATGGTTTTGAAATGCTTACACTCTCAGGAACACAAAATATACATGCAGTTAAAGGAGTCATTTTAGTGTGTAATAGATTATTCCAATAAAAACAAACAAATATGTTTGTGTTTCTGTTTTGCCTACTTAGGTAGTAGCAAGAAAGATGCTGCCTTATAGGACAAATTCAGATGTTTTAGAGATCCTTCCATTTCCTATGTCCTTTCAACATCTATATTGCATGGCCAGGAATTTGTGGGCTTCCCCTGACTTGCTTTCATCCACCAGTTTGCAATAAAAATATCTTGCCATTTTGTAAAGACTTGTAAGCGCATTCTAAATCATCTTGGTACCTTATGGACTCAGATGATAATTAAAACACTGTTGATGCGCGAGTAGAAGGAAAAGTTCACTGTCATATATCCAATTATGAATTCATAAATTATATTTTAGGGAAAAATATTTTTAATTTTGCAGATAGTTATCAACATGTTTTTCCTTTCCAAATAAACAACTACATAACATATATCTGGCTGGATACTAAAAGCAAGTGGATCTATTTGTTGACCAGCAACAAATGTCATGTGTAATTGTTATTTCACACTGAATCCTAGAGATGAAAAACGAATTTATAATGAACAGTTTATACAATTTACTTTGTCTCATTTTCTGCTTGTAGGCAACCTACGAGCATTTTACAATTTCTTTATGTGTTTATGTTTTTCATTTTTGACTACAGTATTTCACTCCAATTTTTGCCTACTATATGCAAGCCCCATTAGTTTGATTAATTGTGCACAAGAATGCAATGTCATTGATTGTGAGTATCCATATTTTTGATTTTTCTTTGTTCTAGTAGAACACAGCCATTTGAATGCTGAGCTGAAAGTGAAGAAATAGAATAGAATGGCTGCAACAGATTTTTTTAAATGTTTAAACACTGCTTCCTGAAAAAAAAATAAATCTTTAGATATTTGCTCAGCTCTACTAATCAGAGATTGTATTGACTGTTTGACCTTGAAACGTCTAACTATTCAAATCTCTTTGGATAAGCATTTAAAAGTTTGGATCACTCCTTTTTTTTATTATCCAATGTTTAGATATTATCCAATATCTAAATATTTTGAGGTTTCATGATGGCCTTTATGAGAGTCCATAAAAACAAATGTCTAAGGGTTTCTCAAGAAAAGTGAAGTCTTGCTGTTGTGGTGAATATATTCACATTCAACATTTTGAATCTTAAGTCCAACCAAAGGGAAAATAATTTGGAACAACTTTCAGAAAAGAGAGCTAGAGAGGGAAGGGGGAGTGACACACCTTCACACCCTCTTCTTTACTTTCTTGTGAAACAGATGTAGAGCTTTGACTGGGTACAGCATAGATAGTATCTCAGAGGGACTTCAGAAGACTACCCACAGCAAGAGGAGGTACAGATATTAGAAAATATGTGCAAAAGGAAAGAATTAGTTATTACATCAGCTTTCCTCACTTTAAAACCAGCTCATTGTGTGTGAAATTGCACGGAGGGCTTAACTAACAGCTGCTGTGCAGCTTCTGAGATCAGAGGGGTTGTCCTGGGTCTGTAACCTGGTGAGTAAGGGTGCTGTTCAAAGTGACAAACCTTCGTTGAGTGTGACCAATCTGTACATGCTTCTCTCCTGCTGAAGGAGAGGTCCTCCAGGGTGCACTTTAGAGCAGAAACTTGAACTGTTCATTGTGAGTTTCCCTAAGAAAAAGCTTCTTTCACAAAGCTGGACTTAGCCCTTTGTCATTGCTATCTGAGATATAATTTTACACCTGTAAAAGATGTCCCAGCTGCAGAAAAGGATTCCAAACTTTATTTAAAAAAACAGCCTTTTGAACCTCAGGTTCTTGTTGGGCTTTTTTACTGAAAAACACACATTGTGGTTTCCTGTTAAATGCATTATGGATCATACTCGAACTCCTTCCGCAAACACAGTACACAAATTAATTTGAATTATTGCTTAATTCTTCTTTCTGTAGATAGCAATACATGCCACAACCAGTTGGCAGCAGTGGCTCAGTCTTGAACTTCCCAGGAGTACCGATTATCACAGGGTTGTATTGATACTCAAAGGATGCTGAAGAGTTTGAAGTGGCTGGGAGGGAGGGAGGCAAATGGCAGCAGGCTCCTCATGAAGAGCTAGTGGGAAGAAGGCTGTTTGGGATTTATCCAAACAATTTCGTAAATTAGGTTCTGTCTGTTTGGGATTTATCAAACAAATTTTGTAAATAAGGTTCATACTTGGGCAGAGATGTTTTGAGGAGAGAGAATGGTACTAGAATTGCGTTCTGATTGCTTCTTTTAAACTTACACAGTTGAGTGAGAGGTATTAGTCTTGTTTGTTAGACAGCTGATGTCCCATCTACAAATTTTACAGAGTTTCTATATCAGTGCACCAAGATAGGAAATGGTAAATGAAATTGGAAATGGAAATGAAAATGGAAATGGTGTAGGGGAGGACTTTGTAGAGTAGGATAGATGGTTGGACTCAATGATCCCAAGGGTGTCTTCCAACCTAGACGATTCTATGATTCTATGAAAATGAGTTCAAACATTGTTTCAGTCCTGCATCATCACCTTTATCGACAGGGCCAATGGGAAGAATGATTTTGTGCCATTTTTTCATTACAAAGGTTAAGATTTTTTTGGTTAGGCATCTACTTTTATCATCTACTCAAAATACAGTAAGGAAAATTAACACTGAGTTCCAACATTGTTTCAGTCCTGCATCATCACCTTTATCGACAGGGCCAATGGGAAGAATGATTTTGTGCCATTTTTTCATTACAAAGGTTAAGATTTTTTTGGTTAGGCATCTACTTTTATCATCTACTCAAAGTATAGTAAGGAAAATTAACACTGGTATCATCTTTATAAGTTGAGGAGGGACTTCTGGAGTCTTTTCTCAACAAGAATAAGCAATTTAAAAGGCCAAGGTCTTCTTGGCAACTTATGAAATAGCAAAAAGAGAATAGAAATGACTGATTGAGGTTTATGATTTATACAGAAGTGAGAGTGGGGAGTGCTTGAGAGGTCTTCTGCTGGAAGAAACTGAGGAAATAAAGCCAGTGTTCAGTACAATATATTTTAATCTCAGCATCCAGACTTTTTCACTGAAGATTAAAGCTAAATATTTGAAGGGTGCTTAGCCCAACTATAAGCCAAAAATGCTGTTGCTCTCAGACCTTGTTTTGGAAGGCATTTGACTCTGGAGCTGTATTTCTGCCTTCTGAATCAGGAGCTAGTAATGAGCTGTACAGTGACATTTTTCTTTACATTTATTTTTTTTTTTTTTTAGAGCTATGGTGAGCTTTGCTAAGAGGTATAAAGCGAGCCTAGAAGTGACTTAGCACTTGTTCACTTACCCAGATGCAAGGAATTACCAAAACAGAATAAATTTGGGACTGAAATACACGTCCCTTTTATATTTTACTTGCAGTTGCATTTCTACCTCTGAGTAAGAAAGACTTTTTACTCCTGGATAAGAAAGGGGACTTCTGCACATCTAAATATGAATACTT